CAACAGCGGTTAAAGCGGACAAGTGCTGCTCATAAATTGAAATATCCGAAGAAGGTGGGATATACGAGCAAGTAATGAATATAGCGAAAGCGGGAAGAATCAGTTTTACACACAGGAATTCCAGTTCCTGTTGAACTTGGACTGTGAAGTGTTCTGACGTGAAGTAAGAGTCCACTGCAATTAGAACCCCTCCTGCACGTCGAGACGAACGGTCCTTTCTAAAAGTTGTGTACCGACCTGCCAAAACCTCGGAACTAAGAATGTCCGGCTTTAACCAGGTTTCAGTAAACACAATAACGTGGGAAGCAAATGCAACACTATCCCGGAAAAGAATGCTGAGCTTACTACGCAAGCCTCTTACATTCTGATAGGTTACTAAAAGAGAAGTTAGTTTTTTGCAAAGGTTGGAGCAAGACGGGAAGTTGAGGAAGAGGAAGTTGAGGTTGAGGGTGGCACGCTGGAAAGATTTGGAAGCGATATGGGGGGCCTATTCTTCTTCTTAGCCTTAAACTCCTTCACCACCAAATGCTCCGGCCAAAATTTGGTGGAGCAAATGGTGTCAAAATGAGTTGGGGAGATGCTTATCTTAAACGACGCTATCTCCCTGGCATAAGAGAAGTTAAATTTCTCCACCTTTAAACCCACGGCTTTTATTTTGCTTTGAATGAAAGCAGTTACATCATTAGATGTGAGGTCAGGGGCCAGCCGTGAAACAAAAACTTGTCGTTTTGGTGGGACTCCCACCAGTGGTTTAGTCACCGCAGGTCTAGTACCTGTGGTGGCAATATCCGGAGGTCCGGAACGTCTATTTACTGGTGGGATCGGGATAGACGGGACAGCTAGTGAACTTGCGGACACCACGGACACGGACGCAGCAGACGTACTTGGCTGCACATTCTCCGAGGCGATGAATTCGGCTACCGAATCTGCATCGCCAGCAGCTTTCGTTGCCTTTGGAGTGGCAAACGAGATCAACTGCTGTACACTTGGAGTGGTCGGAGTCAATTTTTCGGCGGCGGACGGCTGAGTGACGGTTGGCACTTGCAGGTCCCGCGGAGTGACCTTTTTGCGCCTCGGAGACTCATTCAGCAGCTTTAAACCGCTAAACTGAGCCTCCATGGCTAGGAGCCGATCGTACTGGTTTTTAAAACCAACGGTCAGCTCCTTAAAGCCACTCCGCGTCTGCCTCATGAAAGCCACCATGTCTTTCTCCACCGCACGGCATGCCTCGCAACTGTAATGCAAGCCATTACGTTTGGCTATGGCATCGCTCACGAGGCCAGAAAATCCCGCGCATTTTGCGTGGACTACGCTGTCGCAGAGCCAGCAGGGGACATTTGGCTGATCGTGAGTGATCTGCTTCTTGCAGGTTTTTTTAGCGCAGACCACAGCGAATTCCATTTTTTTTTATTATTCAAATATTTTATTAAAATCAAAAAAATTAAAAATTTCCAAAACAAATTGGTATCAGACCAATGTGCCAGACAACGCTCAAAGAGCAAGCAATCTGGAAAGACTTCGTTGACTGTGGCTCAGGCCAAACCTTCTCAAGATCAGAAATGTTCATTTTGCAAGGCAACTGATCATTTCATCACTTCTTGCTCGGATTTCGCTGCAGCTTCAGTCGCAACCCGCTTCCAATTTGCAAAGGGAGTTCCGCTATGCATTAATTGCCTACGCAAAGGACACATTGTGTCAAAGTGCAAATCGTCACATTGCAGAGTCTGTGCCAAACCGCATCATACTTTGTTACATCGTTACACAACTGACTCATCCACAAGTCAAGCTGCGTTGGACAATCCGCCTGCAATTTTAAACGCACGTCCACTAGTTTCGAATCATGCAATGGCACGCGACAATGACCAAGTACTTTTAGCCACAGCAGTTGTTGACATTAAAGGCAGCTCAAGCCAACATCAGCCAGCCAGAGTATTGTTGGACTCTGGTTCTCAAGTGAATTTTATAACCGATGAATTGGCAAAAAGTCTGCAGTTAAAGAGAACTAGAAAGCATATTAGTTTGTTAGGTATTGGAAAATCCAGCTTATCGGCACACCAAGTTGTGCAAACCACAATCTGCTCTCGCATACACCCATTCGAAATGGTGGCAGATTTCGTGATTTTAAAATCGATTTCCTCGTACCATCCAGAAAAGGCGGTTCCGCCTGATTCCTTAATGGATGCTACTGAGAGCTATCCACTGGTTGATCCAGGAGTTTACAAGCCACAAAAGGTTGATGTGCTATTAGGTGCAGACGCCTTTTTCGATATCTTAAGTAATGGTCAAGTATAACAGGGCAGAGAGGCACTAACCTTACAAAACACTGTTTTTGGGTGGGTGGTGTCTGGACGTTGCAAGTCCAAAGGCCCTCAAGCCACATTAACTTGCTCTATGGTGAGCACAGTTCAAGAAGCCTGCCCGCTCGACAGCTTGGTCAAACGTTTCTGGGAGTTGGAAAATGTTCCAAATGCATCCATAGAAAGACTGTATCGCCCCGAAGAAACTATGTGTGAAAAATCCTTTATCGACACTATCACACGTCTACCCTCCGGTCGATTGCAAGTTTCTTTGCCATTTAAGTCTAGCCCGACATCTCTCGGTTCGTCGTTTGAGACAGCCAGAAGACGATTTTTGTCTTTAGAAAGGCGATTATGCCAAAAACCTGCCATAAAATCGATGTTTATGGACTTTATGGAGGAATACTTGTCGTTAGGCCATATGACTGCAATGGAAAACTCAATCCCGGCAGAGCCGCATTGTTTCATCCCGTATCAATGCGTGGAACGACCACAAAGTACATCCACTAAGCTTAGAGTAGTGTTCGATGCGACGTGCAAAACAACGAGTCAAGTCTCGCTCAATGATTTACTCATGGTTGGAGCAACCATCCAGCCGTGCCTATACGCAACGTTGTTAAGATTTCGGTGTCGCAAATTCGCTCTTACAGCAGACATTACAAAAATGTACCGTCAAGTCGAACTTGATGAGGCGCATCGCAAATTCCAATTAATTATTTGGAGACGTGCAAGTTCGGATCCCTTGCAAGTGTTTCGTCTAAATACGGTAACTTATGGCACGGCCAGCGCACCATTTCTTGCTGTCAGGTGCTTGAAGTATCTAAGCGAAACTCATTTAAATTCGCATCCACTTGGCTCAAAGTCTCTTGCTTCCGATTTCTATGTTGACGATCTTCTTACAGGCGCAGACACGAAATCCGAACTACGGATATTGCGTCAACAGCTAGTTGAAATCCTAGAGGCATCCGGATTTGTGCTGACGAAGTGGACTGCTAATTGTCAACTAGGTGACAGTCAGAAAGAAAATCTGGTTATTTCGAGTGGAGATCAGCAAGATTGCAAAACTCTTGGACTGATGTGGAACCCACAGGCAGACATTTTCAAGTACTGTCTGAAACCAATAGTCTCGTCCGAAACCACAACCAAGAGAGTAATGTTATCCGTCATAGCCAGTCTTTTCGATCCCTTGGGTCTGCTATGTCCGGTGATTACTAATGCAAAAATCTTCTTGCAGGAAATTTGGCTTTTGAGCCTTGGTTGGGACGATCCCATTCCCTTAAAGTTGCAACAAAGATGGGAGTCGATGGTTTCGGACATGCAAAGGTTGCATGAAGTCACCATTCCACGTTTTGTAGGAGCTAGCACAAGCACTCGATGTCAAATACATGGGTTTGCAGATGCGTCCACGCGAGCATACGGCTGCTGCATCTACGTTCGTGTGTCCCATTCAAATGGAGTGTCCGTTAACTTATTAACGGCAAAGTCAAGGGTGGCACCCTTAAAGACAAAAATAATCCCAAGATTGGAGCTATGTGCCGCTCATCTGTTGGCAAAATTGTGGGAGGAAGTTCGATCTATTATTGATTGCCCCGTAGAGAAGGTTATATTGTGGTCAGATTCGGAAGTGGTTCTACATTGGCTGCAAACTCATCCCTCCCAGTTAACAACATTTGTTTCAAATCGAGTTGCAGAGATACAGGAAATCACTTCGACTGCCTCATGGAGACATGTACCCACCAAAGAAAATCCTGCAGATCCAGTATCTCGGGGATCATCAGTAGCAGACTTAGATTCACTATTTTGGTTTAACGGCCCGTCATTCCTGCAACAAAATGCCATGGATTGGCCTCAAAATCGTCATTTACGTTTGACAGAAGCGGACGCGTCATTAGAGAAGAAGAAGGTAGCCACTTCGCTTGTCGCGGCCGATGGCGAACACAATCCCATCCTCACCCTAATAGAAAACTCATCATCATATATGAAAGTGGTAGGCACAATTGCATATATCCGCCGGTTCATAAACAAAAGGATAGGAGTAATTTGGAGTAGTACTTGTCCGTCATCAGAAGAGCTCGGCGCAGCGTTTCTAGCAGCAGTTGAAGCTGTTCAAAGAGACGCATTCTCGCAGGAGATTGACAAAATAAAAAAGTCATCAAAGTTGCAGGCATCACTTCAAAAACTAACTCCCTTCATTTCGGAAGATCAAGTGGGCTCATGCTCGTTTTCGTTGGTTCGAGTAGGTGGTCGCCTATTAAACGCTCCTCTAGCCCATAACGCAAAATTTCCACTGTTAATGCCAAAAAATTGTAGACTTGTTACCCTCTATCTTAGCTATTTGCATCCAGCCAATTGTCACGCTGGACCCCGTGCACTAGTGGGATTCCTAAGACAGTCCATGTGGCTGATAAATGCACGAAGAGAGTGCAGTGCCATTGTCCGGAAATGCGTACACTGTTTCCACTACAAGCCGAAGCTGCTCTCACAAATCATGGGAAATCTTCCCGCTGATCGATTGCGTGGGAATCGACCCTTCGAGATTAGCGGAGTTGATTTGTTTGGACCGGTTCGTGTATCGCTTGGGATTCGTGGCAAGCAGCCTCTTAAGATGTACATAGCAGTGTTTGTCTGCTTTGCATCTAAGGCCGTACACCTAGATATTGTAAAAGACTTGACCTCTAATACATTTATTTTGTGCTTATCCAGGTTTGTTGGACGTCGTGGGCCTCTTGTCAAACTCTATTGCGACAACGCCACGAATTTTGTTGGTGCAGCTCGCATGCTCAAGGAGCGCATGGATGCATTCAATGCCAAGGACGGAGACCTCAAGGCGTATGCTGCGGCTCACAGTTTTTCGGTGGAATTCATTCCCCCGCGAGCCCCGCACATTGGAGGCCTGTGGGAGTCGGCGGTGAAGTCCGCCAAGAATCTGCTGCTCAGGGCTATGGGCAGCGCAGTGCTCAAGGAGGACGAGCTGCATACGGTTCTCGTGGACGTCGAGGCCGTGCTCAATTCCAGACCACTGGTGGTCGACAGCGGCAGCCCCAACGAAGGGGAGGTGGTGACTCCAGCGCATCTACTAGTCGGCAGAACCCGAATCAGAGCTGCCCAGACCAGACAGCAGCCTCTCATATCTGCAACGATGGCAGCTCGTGTCTGCCATCAAGCAAAGATTTTTGAGAGATTGGTCCAGAGACTATCTTCTCAGCCTTCAACAGCGAGGGAAGTGGTCCGAGGAGGTCGCCAACTTGGAGCCAGGCAGAGTGGTGGCAATTCACGAGGACAACGTGCCCCCTCAAATGTGGCTCACCGGAATAGTGGAGGAGGCAATCCCAGGAGCGGACGGGAAGGTTCGCGTGGCCGTGATTAGGACGAAGGCCGGGGTCTACAAGCGATCGATCCATCGTTTGGCGCCTATTCCATTGGATTGAAGCCTATAGGCTGTCAACGCGGCCGATGTTAAGGCAAATCAGTTGCCTGCATATATATATATAGCTATAATTATACCTAAGAGACATGTATGAAATCACGCTCTTAAATTGTAATGTCATGCGCTCTTATACCATGTTGCGAACGGAGCCTATGCAAGCAGCAGCCGCTCATGAAGAGGGCGCCGCTTTAGAATAAACTCACTTATAATTGAAAGTCGATTGAGTGCACAAGTTGATCTGTCGGTCTGTCTGATTCCAGTGTCTAATTAAACCTTCAGAAATCGTGCCTAACGGCAGGCTAATTTGCACAATCAGTCTGGTATTTGCGTGGTATTTTTTGTGTTACCACATGTCAGGGGAAATATGGGAATGGCAGATAGGTGGGGACGAAAAGGACGGAAAAGGGTAATAAAACTAATCAGAAACTACGAAAAATATACAATTATCTACAGAAAAACTACATTAATTTACAAAAACTTATTCCTAATATCACAGGTAAGTAACTAAAACTATGGACAAACTATCTACGGACATGCAAAAACTACAGAAACAACAGGATTGACATCTACAACAAATACATTGATGCAGACAAGGTAAAATAAACGATAATTGACATACATTTACACACATATAAACATATTAATTACAATTTATTTTATTTCTAACAGGAGGACAAACAACAACGGAGCACCGGCGGGCATATCAAACGCAATGCGAACATTACGCTGTATACCGGCCGGCTCTGTTGTCCCCCTGTGTGTTGTTTATTGGTTGGGTGTAAGTATTGGCGTGCATCGTGGGCAATGATGGTGTTGTTGATGGCAAGCGGCTCTGGTCCGGCCGCCCACGTTGCATCTGCCAGGTGGAGATGGCGCATCCAATCGAGTGGCACTGGTCCGGCCACCCGAGATGCATTGTCCAGTGTGTTGGCGTTGGCATCGAAATGTGATGCCAACGAATCGTGTTATTGGCCGCATCCAAGTGGCGAACTGTTCCGGCCACCAGGATGCGTTGTCGATTTTTGTTGATTGGCCGCATCCAAGTGGCTCTGGTCCGGCCACCCAGGATGGCCTGGTGGCCAAGGATGGCCTGGCCTCCTCGGCCACGTTCGTCGTCAATTCGTAGTTGCGTTTTGAATGGCTGCTTGTCCGGCCACCCAGATGAGGAGGTGTTCGTTTTGGCATGTGATTTACATTTGTGTTTATTTGCAGGTACTTTCGGCGTTTGGATGTTGTTGCTGGCGACCCTTGTCTGATTTGTGATGGCGTGAAGACGTTTGCAGGTGAGTGTTTGTGAGTTTATTAACAGCCTCCTTCATGACTCTCCTTCTTTTGCAGGAATTGCCGGCGTCCAGCGGCTCAACACCAGGCCATCCCGCCCTCACATAATTCGCATGAGAGACGGGTGCGACCCACTGGAGCGGCAACAGGCGCCAGCATCTGCATCGTCGTTGGAATGGCAGCTGTATGTTTGGAGTGGCGTGACGTCACGGCCATGGTGTGGTGGCAGCGGCATCAAAAAGGGCCTTATATTCCGCCCATTTGGCAGGAATTTGTCAGTGTTGATGGCGAGGCAGCTTCTTGTTGGTCAGCTCTGTCTGGTGATTGGCAGGTACGTGTGATTTCGTGTGTTTTGGCAGTCTTTCTTTGTTGTCCGTATTGACGTCTTTTCCTTTGTTGCAGTGGCTGCCTCTGGGTCGGCGATTTGGCACATCAATAGGCACCGCCCGATCGCATGCTTTCGCGTGCGCTGGCGATTTGTGCCCTCCATATTTCGCCCAGGCCATCCAGCGCCTCGAATGGATCGTGGTCGGTCCATTCGTCGTCATCATCGTCGTTAATTGCTTCGCACTCCATATAGGATTCGGAGTCCGATATGGCTGCGGCGCCATGGTGCGTATTTGCAGTTGGTCGTGGTGATGGCTGTGTGGATGCTGCTGCTGCTGTTGTTGTCCGTTGTGGCGGCACTCCTCCCGTGCTCTCGTCCCTTGCCTGCAGCAGGTTTGTCAGTTTCGTTGTAATTGCTGCCAGCTTTTCTTCCAGCTCTCTAATTTTTCCGGCATATCTTTTCAGATTATGGGCACAGCTCCCATCGCACTGGGCGCCTGGCTGCTGCTGTAGCTGGGGTTGGCGTGGCGTCGGAGCACGATTTGGGATCGGCTGAATCGGCTGGACCCTCTGGTATTGGCGCCCCTCGGCCAGTGGCTGGGGATGTTGGTCGCGATGCTGTAGCTATTGCCGATGCTGCCGACCCGGACCGCGCTGGCGCTGGCGTTGCTGCTGCGGCTGTGTGTGGAGTGGCTGTGTGGGTGGCTGCTGCTGCTGCAACTGTCGCTGTAGTGGCTGCTGGTGTCGTTGTGGTGGCTGCTGCAGACGATGTGCTGGCTGTTGCTGCTGTATTGGCTGCTGCATTGGCTGTGGCTGTTGCCGTAGTGGCTGAGGCTGCTGCTGCTGCCGTCGATGCTCCTCCTCCCTGGCGACCCTGTGGGCCAGGAGCCGCTGCCTGGCTGCCTTGTAGGCGCTGAGGTGCTGGCCCTGGCAGTTGGCGCATTTGGGATTGACGGCCCTTGGCTTGCTGCACTCCGTCGTCAGGTGCCCGCCCGCGCATTTCATGCAGACAGCAGCTCGTCTACAGTATGCGCGGGTGTGGCCAAACACCTGGCAATGATGGCACTGGGCAGGGTCACGGGAGACTCCAAGTCTCTCAACCGTGACGGGCCTCCCACCCAGGCGTCGCAGCTTCAATACCTCGGATTGGCCACGGTCCGGTTTGGGGGCAATCTCAGCCTCGAAGAGGTTGAATTGGCGGCTGCTATCGAATCGATCGGTGATCACCCTTACAAACCGAACCGTGAACCCCTCGTTCAGCATACCGCTGCGAATCCATTCTGACGGCGTGGAGTGGGAGAGTCCTCGGATGAGGATCCTCAAGCCACGTTCCTGGCTGGGCTGATGCCCGAATTTGCCGTGTCGGATGTCATCGTCGGTGGGTGTGGGGCAGGGGTGTTTGTAATGGTGATGGCGGTGGTGGTGTTGGTGTTTGTATTGGCAGGTGTATTTGTAATTGTATTTATATTGGCGTCATTATTTGTATTGATATTGTCGGTATTGTCTATGTGAATGGCTGGTGATTGTCTATGTATTGGCTGTTTTTGATGTTGGTGATGGCTGTGGGTCTGGCTATTGGTATTAATAGTAGTGGCAGGGGCAGGGGCAGGGGCATGTGTTGGCTGTATAGATTGCGGCAGGGCAGCAGGATCGGCAACTGTGTTGGTGTTGGCTGTCTTTGTTGTCCGCTTCTGCTGCTTCTGCTGTTGCTGCCGCAGCTCGTGCTGCCTCAGCTGCTCCTGGACAATAGCCTCCAGCTCCTCCAGAGTTTGCCTCTTCTTCTTGGTGTTTTTAATTGGCGGCCGCTGCTGCTGATGGTATTGATGGCAGCCCCGTCGTCTGGCCTGTTTCCTCTCACCCTCACCCTCCTCATCGTCGCTCCCACTGACGATGAGGGCATGGCGTCGTTTTGGTGTTGGTGGGATTGGTGGTGGTGATTGCGGTTGTGTTGTTGCTAGTTGTCTTTGTATTGGTGCAGGCTGGGCAATGGCACGGATCGACCCGCTGCTCGAACTCGAACCAAGTTCGATTCGCAACGGGTTCGATCCGGTCGTATGTGTGTGGCGGCCCGTTGGCCGTTTTGGCGCTCTGCTCCAGCGCGTCGGCTAGCCGGCTCTCCTCTGTTTTCTCCCTCTCCCGTTACTCTCGAACTTTTTTGTATGTCCGAGAGCGTGAGAGGCGGGAAAAGTGGCAGTGAGAGCGGCGTCCTATCGGCCTTTCCCTTTGTGTTTGGCGGAATTTCGGGATTTGGAGGGGTTGCGGGATTTGCGGTTGGTATTGGCGCTGCTGTTGCTGCTGATGTGATGGGGCTCGAGGGTGTGGCCGTGGATATATCGGCCATGGCGATGGCTGGGTACTCACTCGTTGGGTCGCTGTGGCGACGGCGCTCTGCTTTGGCGTTGACGTTAGTGTTGGCGTTAGTGTTGGCGCCTGCGCCGAGGGCTCTGCTGCTGCTGCTGCTATTGGCGGTGTTGGTGTTGTTGGCTCTTCGCCATTCCTCTTGTCTTTTTTTTTGGTGTTGGTTTTTCCCTTTCGTCAAGTTAATTGCAGTTGTTTTTGTGTGTTTGTATTAGGTCTTTTTATTGGCACTTTCTATCTCTTTACACAGTTTTTCTCTCTTTGGTTTGTGTTTGTGTTTTAAAAATTGATGTTATTTGTTGGCGTTTAAATTAATATTATTTATTGGGGAGAAGAAATATTGTCGGTAGTAGTAGCAGTGGTGGTGGGGGGCAAGGGACTTTTTGTCCTGTCAGCGGGGGCACGGCACGGTACAGCACACGACAGACACCACAAAAAAAAACAGGGCAACACGGAAAATAACGGAAATGGCGACACGGCAATGAAACAATCAAAAGCGACACGACACGGTTATTAGAAAAACGTCCGACGATCGCAACCTCTCGAGCGGGCGGACGAGATGAGAGTCTTTATTTTAATGGTGGGGGAGGGCTCCGGCCGGCTCTGTTGTCCCCCTGTGTGTTGTTAATTGGCTGGCTGGATTGATGGTCGCCCACGTTGCATCTGTCGTTGGTTGGTGTTGGCTGCTGCACTCGAGTGGCACTGGTCCGGCCACCCAACTGCATTGTCGTTGTGTTGGCATTGGCATCGTGTGAATGATGCCAACGAATCATGTCATTGGCCGCATCTGAGTGGCTACTGGTCCGGCCACCAGGATACGTTGTCAGTAGAATTGGCCTGGCCTCCTCGGCCACGTTCGTCGTCGGTTTTAATTGCGGTTTTTGAGTGGCTGCTGGTCTTTGTGTATTTATTGCGGCTCAACACCGGGCCATCCCGCCCTCACATAATAGCATGAGAGACGGGTCCGACCCAGTGGAGCAAATAACAAAAAAGCGGCATGTATGACTCTGTCTATTAATTCTTTGCAATATGTAAACACTGATTGAAAGAAGACGAAGGAAAAACAAACGGGACATCAAAATCAAAAACGGCCAGACGCGTGCTTTTCTTAAGTCTTCTTTGCAGTCATTCGCTTACAAATTTTCTTGCATTCAGTTCAGTTTCTTGTGTTATTTGAAGTTTTAGCAATGCCCGGTAAACGAACTGAAGATAATCTGATACAATTGGTATA